CAAAACACAGGCTTTCGTATGAACCGTTCAATTTAGCCCCCCCCCCCCCCCCCCCTAAATTGATACTATCAATACTACGCTGGTTTCTGGCCCTGGACTGCCTCCCTGCCTTACGGCAAGACTAAACTCAAGCTCTGCTACGCGAGCTTTCGTGACAAGGTGCAGCCGTGAGCTCGGCGAGGTATCGTCCGCCCATTGCATTGTCCTCGGCTGCACTGAAAAAACGGTTTGAAAACACTCGGTTCCCCCATCGGTTCCCCCATCCGTCTGCACGGTGGAATATGGGCCCTGTAGATTGACTAGGCCTTGCTACTGTCGAGCCCGGCCCCTCCACATCTCCATGTAACAACAAAGGCCTTCTCCATGCTTTCGGTATGCCTGTGTTGTAAATTGTTGTAGGTGTGGTCGAGGGCAGGCTTTACCACACGATTTCTTTGACACTAATGCTGCCGGTAAAGCCAAGCAGCGGTCTTGAGGAAAATCGTGCGAAGCTCATTCTGCCCCATTGGAGAATACCTTGAATCAAGACACGAAACCGCGCGAGGCTCAGCCATTATTTCTTGAATCGAGAAAAAACCTACACTGTCAACTTAACTTCATGACGTGGAACTTCTGGTAGAAATACAACAGCCATACGCAATAAGCAGAGTCCTTCTTGGAGGAACGGGGAAGCAGGAATTTGTTTCGGGGAGCATTCGCAGCTTTCCTCATGCACCTTTGCTTTCAGCGCACGCTACTCTCTGTGGAAGAGAACCGCGTGGTGCTGCAGCTGAACACTTCCAACCCAGGCTCACACGCTTAAACTACAGCACACATTTTTCAATGGATCGGGCACAGGTAGGTCCACCTGGCCACAAACAGCTGCCTAAGCCACAAGGGGGAAGGCATCACAAAACCCTCAAAGTGCACTCGGGCACACAGTAGGTCGGCATAGCTCGCCAACCATCCAGCAGCTGCGCTAGCTCCATTGGGATCTTGGGCATCCATGCTTTAACCAGTGCTACAAGAAGACGCTCATGGCAACGCACCGGCTGATGCCCGGGGCCGGGCACCGGTGATGTGCTTGGGCTGCTTAGAGAATTGCTTTAAGGTCCTATCTAAACCCCGTAGCTCATGAGACAACGACGGAAATGAGAAAGGCAGCATGTGTAAGTCATGGGGCGCCCGTTTGACGCGAGCAGGTAGCCTCGGGCTGGATAACGAGAACGAAGCGCATCGATCCCCTTGCGATAGAAACCCCGAACCAAGCCGCTGGGGCTTGATTTGGAAAGCCAACAGTGACCCTTGACCGAGTCGCAATCACACACGATGGACTGCAAGTCAACCCTCCGTGCGTCAGAAAACCTTAAGCCATGGCCGGCAGTGGCAGCCAGCAGCGTCGCATCGCCATCGTCCAGCGAAAGCATTGCAGACTCGAGGCGGCGCAACATAGGCAGGGGCAAGGGAATGGTCTCCTTGACGGGTGGCAATGACCATTTAGCGTGGACTTTCCATGCCCGAATTAAGGGGGGGCAACAGGCCAGCCGCAAGCACAGCAAGTTGGCACTTGAACGCTGCAACAGACAAGGCACTCAGGCAGGACACCGCAGACCGCCTGCGACCATGGCCGCGATTGGACCTACAACCTGCTACGGAGCTAACAACAAAATCACGAAGCTCCTCCGTTGAGGGAGAACCTGCAGCTAAACCTTGCGAGGTGCAGTACTCCAGCGCCAACCTCCTAAATGACGTGCAAGCGTCGACGGAGCCCTGTCCAGAAACAGGGGCAGAAGGCCTCATCACTGGCAGACTCCAGACCCTGAAATGCAATCTATCGATTTGGCAGCTCCAGCTGGGCACACGCGCAAGGGCTTGGTCGGCACCAGTGCAGAGGGCTCGCAGCATGCTGCGGGCGCTGCATTTGTGAAAGCTAGCAATGGCTTGGCAATAACCGGCATTAACCGGCCGTGTCCGAAGCTTTTCGGCTGGTCGAAGCAGTCCTGCATCAATATCAGGTCGTTGTGAGATACAGCAGCACCTTTCGCTTCGGCTCCAGCATGGCAACAAAAGGAGATATCAAGCAAGACACAACAAGCAAGCGCTTTTGCAGGAGAAGAACGCAATACCCCAAGCGGGGCCCACACCCTCAACGAAGCGCAAGGCCTGTGCGGCAACACTGCAAGACGCAGGGCCGTGGCTGGGGAAGTGTTCGGGGCATGCACGCCGCGCGCCGGCCTACCCGTCGAAAGAAAAGATGTAGACGGCAAACCAATTGCAGGTACTCACACGAACCGTTCGGCTATTGCTGCAAGTATTGCTACGACCGCCAAGGCGAGCATGGACACCGGAATTAAGAAAGTAGCGATTGCTCGTCCAGCCAGCGACACGCGATACACAGCTACAGGAGCTTCTTCGCGTGGGTACTGTGAGCATAGAGCTGACAGTAGCACTGCAAGATGGCAACGATGATTCCCAATACTACTGGCGGCAGTGCTTGGCGGTATTCGTGTTAGAAGCAAGCCACCACAACAGAGCTGAACGCACAGCGAGTGGGGGTCGGGCCCTGACATGGAATCTGGGACTGCCCTGTCTTCATCTCTGCCAGGTCTCTTGTTGTTGAAACGATCGAAGCGATGCAGGCAGCTTTTATCCGCCCACACCTGGACAGTGTGCTGGGTTGATCTTGTGTTTGCACACCTCACACGGAATGACACAATGCCCACCAGCCGAAAAAAGAGAGGAGTGCACACCGCCAGTTATGCCAGCTATGCTTTGCCGATCTTTGCCCGCCTGCAAGCGGTCGATGCACAGGTCGGTCCAGCCGATGCCCATGTCCTTAACGGTTGGGATTCGGAATTGTTTCGAAGATCCGAGAAATCGCATGAAACGAGTCTCGTCGAAGACTGTCTTGAGCGTCCGTTCCTTTCCATCCTTTACCTCGCTTAATATGCTTAAAGCGAGCCGTGATGCGCAACACAGGCGATGAGCAATGCATGTGATGCTGAGGAAAGAGGCCACTTAGCTAGAATAGAGAGTGTCAGGCACGTGACATCGACCACGTCGGAGGAGAATCTCTTCAGCTTCTTTTTCATGAACCGCAGCAAGTGCTTGGCATTCATGGCCTGGGAGCCCCGGAGCCGTTTACGCCACCATTGCCCAATTTTCAAAAAAACGACCCAAACAAGCGGCAGCTGAGTGATGAATGTGGGTGTCCACCTTCCTGACGTTGTAGAAATCCTGATTCGGAGTACAAGGCTGCAGTCCTCCACCGAAAAAGACCCCAAAGTTAAAAAAAAATGAATTGTGCATCCACGGATCTCTGTGCCCTGTCTCCATCGCGTCCTGTTTTCAACATAAACCCAGCTCGACCTGTGTTGACCTTACAAGAACCTTCCTGTCCCGAGCTGGATCTGCAGCCTACAGCCACTGCTGTCCTGAGCTTCCTGGTCCCCGAAGACCTGACGAGAAGGTTATGGCAGAGAACACCGACAGCAGAAAGGCTCATCATTGGCATAATTGGCCAAGTCGCCATGGTATACAGCTCAAACTTTGTCTGCAGCAGTCTCAGCCTCTGATACGCATAGCTGGAAACAGGCCCAGAAGACCTCGCAACAGGCACTCGGTGACTCCGGACTTCGGCAGTGACAGGTGAGAGGACCCAGGCCTGATCTGAAAGAGTGTATTCCTCACACGCATGAAAGAATCTGAGCAGAGAACCTACGGTTCGCGGAATAAGGCAGCTTGGGTGCATGTCATCGTAGTACTCGTCCAGGCTCGGCACTTGGAAGAGCGACTGTTCAGAGCCCTTCTCTCCTCATAGAAGCTTCTGGGAAGAGTAATTGAACGGCTGTGGCTCTCTGGTTCTGCCAGTGCAGCAGAGCAGCGAACCTGGGCCAAACCATCCTGCCACTTCAACTCCAGCTTTCCCGACTTTGGGAAGGAGCTCCTGTAGGAACTTCCACACACTTCGGCCCTTGTTTTTGCCTTCTGGGGGCTCCTCTTTGGCGGCAGCTTTTCGCAGTATTTTGCTCGAAGTTCTAGAGCTTGTCGAAGCTGGGCACCTCGTTCCGGTTGCACCGGTGGCAAAACGAATCTGCTTAAAGCTGCATCTTTAAGTCTCCATCCTAGTTTTGAGATACTGCGAATGAGCAGGGCCAAGGCACAAATCTCTTCCCGGCTGCTATCACCCATGGTTTCAGGCCTTGGCATGCGACAGTCCGGTTCGCTAACCCGTTGAACAGGCACACCACATCTGAGCAGCAAGGCTGGGTGATGTAAATGCACAGTGACCAACTTAATGCCAAGAAGCGTGGCAGCAAGCAAGAAATGCACCAAAGGCTCGACAAGCTTGATTATGACTTGTGTGTTTTCTAGGGTCGGGTGGCGACTAGACGACACTGCAGCGAAGCTGGAGAGGTTGAGTATGCACCAAGGCAGCAGATGGCGGAAGTCTGTCTGCACACTGTGAGTGTTGATGTGGTCAAAGTTGCAATGTAGATACTGAACGACATGGTAATCGTGTCAACAGTCTCGTCAGGTCTTGGGCTCTGAAGGCTGTGAGCAGGCAGTGAGCGGAAGCCAACTCAAGTAGTACTACGCGGCCATGCACCAACCCGCAGGAACGCTCGGAGCCTGTGCTTGCAACTGGGCTTGAAACTCCTCCCGCACTCGCACCTGTCAGGTCAGCTCACTGTTCCCGGCACCGGCCTGGCGGCCTGGCGGCCTTGCCTCTGCTTTCTCCAGTTCGTCTTGCATCTTCGCCTCCACACTGTTTGTTGCACAATCGAGTGGCTACGATTCGGGCTGATTCCGAAGAGTAAAACTCCATCGCCGAGTCTCACCTGCAGCGCAGCCTGCGCTTCGAGACTGGCTTCCCTCTCCTACGAGGCCGAGGCAGCAAAGGATGCAGAGTTGTTCAGGTTCGACGCGTCCAAACGCGGCCTTCTGTCGTACAGCCTGGCAGCCTTGGAGACGAAGCTCCTCAGTCCCGAGCTTCCGAAGTCGCTCTCAGTCGGAGCCTCTCTCCTCAGGTCGGAGCCAGGCCGCGCAAATGCCAGCGCCGCATGTCCTCCTTCAGAGTGCTTTCACAACACGGTGCCAGGCAGGGGGCCGATCAATATTCCCTTTCAGATCCTTCTAGTCTACCTCCCGATGAACACGGACTGGTTCATGAGGCAAGGCATGACTCGCTCAACTGAACTCGGCAATCAAGAAGAAGCACTCTTCTGCCGTTATTCCTCTTCGCACTGGCTGGGCAGCCGTGATGGCTTGTGCTCTTTTCCGGCCCATGACCACAAGTCAGGATATCCATAACTTGATTGGGGATAAAAAGCACATTCAAAGCTGTGAACACATGAACTCTGTGACATTAAACAACTTCATGCGAAGTAGGCAACATGGCGATGTTCGTGGTGGCGAGGCGCGACGGCCCCGCTTCCTTTCCGCATTCCTGCGGCCTCCGTCACGTCGTGGGATCAGGTGTCAAGTTGGCCCCGTAGCACGTGCATATCATAGCGCTCGGACAAGACATTCAGTGAAGATTGTCTATCAGCTGCAGGCTTATGCCGGACCTTTGAAGCAAGATCAGCCACCACCCCTGCATCCCTCGCATGAGATCCTCATCGTCTTGCCAGAGAGAGGTGCTGACGAGGAAGCCCATGCCTGCATCGTCGGAATCGCACGCGCGAGTATTGGGGGGCGCAGCAGCCGCTTCGTCTTCGCAGCTTCGGTTTCACGGGACGCCTTCTTTCCAAGCCGTGACGCAGCTTGCCAGGAGATGGCGGCATCTTTGCCTCCAGAAGATTGGAGAATATATTGGAGAGATGCGAGGACACACCTTGGGAGCTGGTCGCCGGCCTGAACCTCTGCTCCGACAACAGCAGAGCCTCGACAGATGCTTTGATGCCCTTTGACCAGGGTGCTACGTTCTGAGATCGCGGCGCCCTCGGAGGCGCGGGGCGGTGGATCGTCATCACCTTGCACATGGTAAACACCCTGTCCCGTTGCTGACCGCCTCTCGCCTCCTGAGGTTCCCACCGAGTACGTGCCATCGTTGGTCCATCGGCCTGGAGAGCACAAGGGCGTTGCGTCAGTAGCAGCCGCATGCGGCCGCTGCGGCGCGGGGGACTCTCGGCCGGGCCTTGCCGTCTCACTCTGCTCAGCTTCGCCTGGAACATAGCCGCCCGGATCCTACCGGCGGAATTCTCTCTTCACTCTTCACGTCAAAGGCTTGCACTCTCAAAAGGGCGCCTCCTCTCCGTCGTCGAACGGAAGCTTGCTTGCGTGCGACGGGTCGAACTGTTCTGCCACAGAATGAGCTGGCTCGTCCTCCTCCATTTGGATTTCAGATCGATGTTCGTACTGCTCTGAGTCTTCTCCACGGAGCGGTGGTGGTGCCCCAGAAACTCCATGATCTCGCGCGGCGACCGAGACGACTTCTGCAGTTTGAGATTGCGGCAAAGATGCTTCCTCACGGAGCCTGAGTGAAGCCACAAACATCACAAGATGGAATCAGGAATTGTAGCGTTCCGCCAGGTCACGCAGGCACTTCCTGTGACGGTGGTAGGGCGAACCTTATTCCGGAAAACCCTTGAGGCAGCAGAAACGGGCAGAGAGTTCAGAGTGCCAACTGCATCCGAGAAGCGCATCTGGCTGTGACTCAAGTGGGCCTGGCTGCAATTCTGTCGTTGAAGCATCCGCTTCCAATGACATCGCCACAGTGTGCTCCTGAAAGAAACAACATTCAAAACGAGAAACCCTACGATTTCTGACTGGCTGCCGAAGCGACAGCACTTCCTGGTCGCGTCGAGGGGGTGAAGATGGAATCCCAGCAGGTGACGAAGGCTCCGTCTGCTGTTGCTCCAAGCCGCTCAGCTCATCCACGTCTGAAGGCCTCTGACAAACGTTTTTACGAAATCGCGCGGATACTGAAGGCGGGGAAGCTCCTGCTTAGCGGATCCTGCTCGCTTGACGGCAGCTCTGCCGCAGCAGACACTGCAATGGACCTCGAATGCTTGGGCCGTTCGGTGGGTGTGGCTGGAGGGAACTCTGCATCTTTTGCTGTCTGGCCACGAAAGGGCTTCGCGAACGGCACCATCCGTCTCCGAAAGTGGGTTATCACACTGTACTTCATAGGCCGGCTCCGTCTGCACAGACCTTGCACGGTTCGCAAAGTGCAATGCGCGTATCGAACTGCGTCGCTGTCGGGAGATTCATCTTCATCGTCACTGCACCAGGGCAAGAGTCGGCTCATGCTCGAGAGGCCCTTCGCATGGCTAAGGCGAGAGGCTGGCGGCTGCGTCGACGTCCGAGGCCGAGCTGACGGTATGCGGCACCTCTGACACTTCATGGAAATGCACGAAATGCACGTGCCTTTACGGCCGCTGATGGCCATGGCCGTGGCTCTCAAAAGCTCTTCCGGCCCAGGCACTGCCGAGCACCACAGAGGCCGAAGAGTGGCGGGCTGGGGCAGAAGGGGCTTCGGCAGCAGCACGCCAGCCACGGAAGGCACGAGCAGACAAGCGCAGCGCCGCCTGTTGCAGATGTGCCGTGCACTCAGCACACTCACTGATCTCAAGCCTCGTCCCAAGGGTCTCCGTCGCCGCCGTCATCCTTGTTCTGCCTATTTACACCTATGCCACTTGTAAGTGACACTGTGGTGTAGCATACGCCCTTTGCCTTGAAAGCGAGATTCCGAAAGCTCGGAACTAGCGACACACTTTGAAGTACAGATCAAGACAAGATGATGCTCACGCAATTCTCCAAGCTTCCAGACCCTACACGCAGACGCTGTGTCTAAAACCGCTTGCCATGCGTCGGTGCATCAACATTGAGACCGAGCAACTAGTCACGGGTCAGTTACGGTTACAGGTGGGCTCCTGAAGCACTACGGTAGCCGGTAGCCCCTCTGATTCCACGGGTTCGGGCTACCCAAACACTTCATGCTGCTGCGACAGGTACTGAAATAATTGTCATGCAGTCACATCGGAGCTCGTCCGAGGAGGTCAATTCAATTCCCGAAGCATCCACGCTATCCCAGAGGCCCGAATTGCCCGTAGTTTTGCGGAGGATCGAAGCCCCCAGCAGGGCGGGCAATTGGCCGACGTGGCATGTGGAGGCAGAACGCCAGTCTTCTGGAAGCCGCTTTGTGCCGTCCAACGAGAGTGGCTTGTCATTGCATATGGCACTGCAACCTTTGCGTGGACTTGGCTGCCCGGAACGGCGACAACAAAAACTGTGCTGAACTATGCCTTCAAGAGTTGACGAGTTGTCCTGACATTCCTGACAATATTTCAAGCACGATCAGCATGCTACTGCATTCTGATCGTGCTGGTGAGTGCGGGTGCGGTTGAAAGTTGTCCGTCCAACCACCGTATGTGTGATGAAGTGCACATCAGGGCTGCCTGTCATGGGACTGGGGAGTCACGTTAATATACACAAAAAAGCGAGCTGCTTGCAGCGAACAAGCATTTTGCTAAGGTTTCGGTCTTGCAGCGGGTGGTCTTCAAACAGGGCATGCTCAAGGAGAAGCCTTGAATTTGTATTGATCCTGGTAGTCATGTGCCCTGTGGTGATGGTCGATCCCGAGCAATAAGCATTTGCGGACGGTTTGGCCGCAAATGCGGCGGGGTGCCTAATAGATCTAATAGGACAGCATGCATGACAAGTTTGAGGTTGACGGCCGTGGCAGCCGCTCACACTTTACGACACAGATGCAGGAAAGTAGTAACTGTACGACGGCTGTTGCGAAGCTGTTCGTGCACCGCTGCCGCTCTTGCCGTCGTGGTAAGCCGGCAATTTCCCAATTGATAAGCCGGATGATCCGCGTACTTAAGCATACAGATGCGACTGACGCTGCAAGGCTAGAGGATGTGATGAACTCGGTTTGGGGAGACCGAGCCCCTGTTCAGGGGTGAAGGTTGTAACAGGAACCAGCGCGCGACGGAACGGGAACCGCTATAACTGGAACTGGGCTGGGTGGGGCTAGTAACTGGAACCAGTGGGAGTTGCAGCGGAAACAAGCCGGACAACGAAACCGAAACCGGCTTTGGAGTTGTGACTTTAAGCTACAGCGTTTTCTCTTAAAGCGCCCTTCGAACTCCTCTATAAAGCAAAGCCCTTCAAAGCCCTTATTCACAAGCCCTGGCAACAAACCGTCAGAGCATGTTAGAAACCTTGAAAGCCGTTTCGAAACCTGTAAACGCTTTAGAAGCCTTAACCTTAGACCCTTAGACCTCAACCCTAAACCCTGAAAACCCTTAAACCCTAAACCTTAAACCCTACGAGTAACCCAACCTGAACCCTAAACTTTTGACCTCTAAAAATCCATGGGTCTCACAAGGATTTCACTGGGAATCCTCATAAAAACCATGGCTTCTTATGGGTTTTGCTGCAAAACCATGGCTAACCAATTGAGGCCGTTCCTGTTACAAGCCCCCCCCCCCCGGTTGCTGTTACAGGCCTCCCCCCAGTTCCTGCCGCAGTGGGCTTGGTTTCTGAAACAGTTTCGAGCCAGCTCCTGAAACCAAAGCTCCTGCTACACGTCCTTGTTCATTTTACAACGTTTTCTCATCTGGGCAGAGCTGGTGCGAGTTGGGGCCATCTATGGCCGGGCAGCCCTTGCTTACCCTTTTGTCTTCGTCCACGCTTCCTTTGGGAAATCCTGAACTAGTTCTACTCTGTTGGGGGGGGGCCACCGCATACAAGGCTTGCTCTTGCGATCAGCCATTGGTCCGAACTGCGGACTACGATTAATGGCGAAACCCCGACATGAAATCCGAAACTGACCCTCTACTCTACTCGAAATCCTAATCTACAAATAGGCAGGAGCTGAAGGCATTGGATTCTGCGTACTTCATGACTGTGAACACCGAGAATACTGTGACCCACACGGGAAAGCCCAATCTTCTGGCTTCGTTTTGCAGGTCCACCCTCACCACGAAGACATAACACAGTCAAAAAAACCTCAGCCCAACAAAACAGATTTCAAAAGACCTAAACCCTAAAAACCCTGCGCCCTTAACGCCGGAAGCTGGGATCCAGCACACGAGCGAACCCCCTAAACTGCAAAGCCTGAGACACAACCAAAACAGAACGAAGCTGCAAAGGAGCTAGACCCCGCAAGCCCCTAGTCCGACCCGAAACCCTAAACACGAGCCACGTAACCAAAACCTCGACCTTACGCGCTAAGCCGTAAAAACCTTCGGCGATTCAACCCGAGCCGAAAACCCCTAACCCAACAAGCCCAACACCCTAAACCCTAAACGCTCAAAAAAAATAGGCAACGAGATAAACAACATTGAGCCCTCAAAAACAGCTCGAGTTTGAGTCGTGAAACCCCTACACCCTTAAAACCCAGAACCCTCTGCAGGGCACGCACTCGTGCATGCTTGAATCGCGCGTTCTTTGTCTTTGAATCGCTGTGCTGCTTGAATCGCGGCGTGTCAAAGAGGGCTGGATGCGAGAGCCTAAATCAAGGTCCGGCAACATACAACTCCGACTCCAGATCCCGCGCTCAAGAACCTCTTTTGGTTATGCAGAGGTTTGGGAACGTGCAAGTCAAGGCTCTGCTGCGGGTGATGCGTCCCCCTGCAGCATGGCCCTCCAGCCCGTGGAGGCTCTAGTAACCTGCGACGAAACCGGAGATGTGCAGCTTGTGAAAATGGTGCGATGTGCGGCTGGAAAAAGACAGATGATTCCTAGAGACTCATAAATTCGAGAAATGCTGATACCTCTCGGAGGTGCGAAGACGTCAGTGGTAGGCTGAGAAGCTATGCATGTAGATAGTTTCTCCATCTACACCGGACCGAAGAATTCGCAAGTGCAGGCAATGCAGCAAGAATGACAACAGCACGAGCATGTCACCCAGCTGAGGCCTTGCAGTTGCCATTACGGCGACCTACCTCTGAGCTACCAAAGATTGAACAGACACTCAACCGTTGCTCGTGGCTACAAATCACAGTAAAACCATAATGCCAAGCACGTGTGCAGCTTCTGGATCCCTTCCCGTAGCTGCTGAGCCCCACAGGCAGAATGCTGACTTTGCACAGTGCAAGAACGGGTGCAAGACCTTGCTAGCTGACGCATCCCAACTCTACCACCCACAGCACCCGGCTCCGTTCCCTGGCTGGTGAGGCAGCACAATTTTCTACATGGGCAGAGACAGTATCCTGAAACCCGCTGCCACTGGCTGTGGAGCGTCCGAGGCCTGCGAGTGGTTCAGACAGCTTATATTCGAAGCAAACCTACCGAATATTCAGCTGTTCAACACAAGATGCTCACAACACTCTCTCAAGACTTTCAATTCAGCAGCAGTCTTGACGTTCTCCAGATACTGTGAGGCCAAATCACAAACCCTCAATGCAGGCATATTCTGACCCTCATGAGCAGCTGTCCTGGCACGCCCAGCTTTGTGCGCTCCAGATGTTGCCCCATTCCTCTTCCAAGGCCCTGCAGCATGGAACACTGGCGCGACGGGTGATCTGAATACTGAGTAACTACAACGAACTGACTTCAACGGATACATGCCACAGTCATCACACGCCAGATCAACACCTCACGCCAGCATCCCCATGCAAGCAGGCAGTCAAGTTTGTCACGGCCTGGCTTCGGCCTTCGCAGACAGTTCGAGTGCTCCCTGCCAATTCCTGGATGCGAGCATCCGATGTCAACGGCCGTCAAAGTAAGGTCGCTTAGCGAAGCTGCCATGCTTTGAGCAGAAAACACGTGCGCGTGCGGCGCTCAACCCTCGGACCTGCCAAGGCCGCATGCACGCACAGCACATCCCAGAGCAGCCAGCTGCTCGCTGGGTGCACCTCCATTGTTTCTAGCATGGCGTGGGTCATTGAATGCTACCTGAGGAAAGGAACTGACCGTTCGAAGGCTATACACTGTTCAGCCTATGGACAGTTGTTAGGGCTTAGTTCTTGCTCAACCCTTCCACCCGGCATGAACCTTGCAAATCCAGCAGTGCCAGGCATGGTTTCCAAGCTGCGGCTCGGATGGCTGCAAGCATGGCCTGCAGCATGGTTGGACAAGGCTCGTGCTTCGGAGCTTTCGCTCACCATGCCACGAAGTACATCCTGCCAGCTCCCTTTGCCTTGTGCATTATATAGCTCCAAAATTTCGAGGCAAGCCGAGAGCCGGGCAGTACTTCTGGCCTCGCGAATCCATGGAGATAGGGCCTGAGACACAACAACACGGAGTTGACCGCAGCACGAGAATTGGCGGTCCGCCTTGGCGTTTGCAGGCTCTGCGACAGCTTGGTTCACCTTCAGGCGTTGTCGAGCTACGCATCCAATACTGCATCGTTGCTTCAACGCACCCGACTTAGTTAGTTGCAGGGTCAAGCACATGCAGATTCCGGTCGTAAAGCAGCCGCGAAAGGCTGCAGAAATCTTGCTTCGGCGCCTTCTCGAGCAGTAGCAGGGCCTGCTGCCAGGCGCCGCTTTCTGCACAGGCGCCCAGGCCGGCGCCGACGACCTCGGATCAGAACCGGGTCTGGTAGCTTGTGCACTGCTGGCAGTCCAGTGCCAAGTTGCTGAAACGGTCTCTTCGGGCAGCCAGTCTTCCGACCTTTATAGAGCTTCGAGACGAGTTCCCATCTGCAGAGCGAGTTTCCGCCGAGATTCCCGGCCTGCCCGCATCATAGGCGTCGCGAAGAAGATTCAGCGAGAGATCCTCAGCTGTAGCAAAAACTTCCACAGTTGGCTCAAGATCATTGCAGCGCCAACTGTTCAACACACTCATGACACGGCGCGACGTCCAGATCAAGATTCGCCAAAGTGAAAAGCACAGTACGGAAATTGAGTGGCACGAACGTGCAGCCACAAGCCTCACCAATTCAACATCTGCACCACACAATCAATCTTTGGAACGATCCATTCCACGGCTTTCGACACACTTCGCTCGTCTTTCCTGCTCTGTGTCCGAAGCATTCGCCTAGCACGATTGTGAAATGCAGACACGACTTTTGCGATGCTGCGCAGAAATGCATGTACCAAGATTCTTGACGCAGGAAAGATTCTGAGCATAGTTGAAAATGGAGCTATCTTCACCCCCAATCGTCTGATTCTAATCCATGTACTTTGCCTTGCAAGTAACCCTCCAACTCCCATTCACCAGCACTCACCCCCCACGAAGATACCGACACGGGTGCTGGCTTGGATTTTGGTTTGGAGCTTGGCAAGAACATGCCAGAAGCGACAAGACCCGGCAAGAATCTCCACGACCCTCCATACGAAGCTTCCTCTCACATCCGAATCCGATCCCGCCTGTATACGGGATTCCCCAGCGTTCCAGTGTGCTGGGAAACGGAAACTGACCACTTGGTCCACTTGAGCCTGACTCAACCTCCATCGCGTTTTACGTCACTTGCCCCACTGGGTCGCTTGACATCGCTATACATCGCTGTTTTACCCACTTGTGCCACTTGCACTCCGTGAAGCCTTCACTAGTACAAGCAGCAGTAATCGTAAAAGCACTAGTGCTCGTAACAATACAATGGTACCCTAAACCCAAAGCCCCAAAATCCTAAACCTCAAAATCCCAAAGCCCAAGCCGTAAAACCCTAAACCCCTAATACACCCTAAAAGCATCCCTAGACCCTCAGACCCTAAGCCCTAAACCTTAAACCCCTTGAGACCCTAACCGTGCACCCTAACACCCTAAACAAGTGGCACAAGCGTCGCCCACCCTGAAGTGGCACAAGTGGCCAGAGATGCCGCCCCCCTGAACAGTCCTAGCCTGAGGCGCTTTTCAAGTGGGACACGCGGAGCATGCCACTCGAACACGCCTAGCGTTAGCCCATTTTCAAGTGGTGGCGCGACTCAGCGGTTCCCGAGTCCCAGTTCAAATGTAGCATTTTCGGTAGCAATGAGCGAAGAAACAAGAAAGCAAAGTTGGCACCTGCTGGCTCCAGTTCTGTTCAGACGCCGCTGGCATGCAAAGCAAAGCTTGTGCCGAGAGCCTGGCCCACTTGCCAGCCTCGCAGGAAGCTTCCACTGAACCGGAACTTCAGAGCATGTCTGAAGGAAGTGACTTGCGGAACAAAGTCAGCTCTTGAAAGGATCCGAATCCTGGTGGCTTTGCCGCACACTGTCACATGCTGGATGGAGCGACACATTCTTGAATCGGTCAGTAGACATCCGCTGAGCTTGCAGACCTTGTTGCACGCAAGCATAGTTGAGCTGATCCTCGGGATCATGTTGCACAGGCACATTGCGAGTCGGTGCCACGTGCATGTGCTACCAGTAGTTTCCTCGAGTGCTCACATCTCGGCCTTCGGGATTTGAAGATGCAAAAAGTGGAGCTTGTTAGCTTGCCCCGCGCCCTTGTGTTGTTATCTTTTTCGTTGGGAGTTGCAACGGTGCCATCCAGGAACGCCGGCCACATGGTGCCAGTTCCCAGGGCCAGCGCATTCAACCCTACAATACCAGCTCCATCGCCTTCTGCTTGCAACGACCGCCCTTGTGGTCGGCTTGCCGCTGAATCCTCCAACTGTTGGAGCGCGATATGAACTCGACCATGCCGGCCCGTGAGGAAAACCATACAAGACCTGTACAACGTTGTCCTGAGAAAAGGAAGCGTGCTCAAGCTGGGTATCAGGCTCACTAGTTTTAAAGAGCATGATCCGAACAAGTACCCCGACACGCTTCAAGCATGACGTAAGGCTTGACGACCCAGTGCACCACGCTGGGCGCAACGTCAAGCTCGTCCTACGTAGGCCGGCAGCGACTTCTCGCGAATCCACACCTCAAGGACAAACTCCACACGGTCCACCAAGCCGGCTCCAGAAGGACGAAACGAGTTAAGCTTCAGCACCAAGACACGTTGACGGCATACTTGGGGAAATCGCACAGAAGCGGCCTGTCTCTCTGTCTCTAGATTCCTGCTGTGATCTATCTTTCTCCTGCGCTTTAGGCAACGCATTGTAGCACCACAAGCTCTGGAATTTGCACGGCCAAGCCACAGGGCTCGATGTTCGACCAGGTTCTGTGGCCGGCCCTCCGCATCCACCTTTCTGAGGCTCGGTCCGCGGTGCAAGCGGCACACTTGGTGCGACCAAGACGCATTCGGCCAGACGAGAGCAGCGCCCGCCTGGGGCCGCACGGAGACTCCGAGCCTGCTCGCTCGGCGGCCAGGCGGCCAGGGCCCAGACGAGGCAGCGCGGAACAACAACGACGCCCATGCCCGGGCCTCTCGAAGGATGTCTCGCCACCGCAGCCATCTGGCAAGCTGTTGAGGTAGATCCTTGGTGCCCACCGGACCGCGGCATGGTCAAAGCTTCGATGCCCATTTTACTCTGTCCAGGGCACAGTGCGGTTGCTGTGCGCTGACCGCCCAGCCACAACGAGGCATCCTGCAATGGAAACGAAGCACTTCCTCATCTTCCTCATCAAATCATATCAAATCCTACACCACTTCGCCTGCTCATGACAGGTTATGTTTATGCTGTCCTGCTGACGACCCCAGTCTACATGGGTGCCTGAAACACGGGGGGCCACGCCGCTGAATCGAGAAGATCGTCCCTTCTCTCCGTTTTGCCAAAGGGGCTGTACTGCTCGCCCTTCCGGTATCGCACCAGCTGCAGTGCCTCTACGAAGTCCTCTGCAGAGATCCTACTGAGCGATATCGAGCTGCCCCATGCTACGCTAGCATATCCAGTTCAGCCAGAGCGAAAGCATGTCAGCATGTGGCATGGTCATGAGTCATGCCCAAAATTGCTAAAAAGCTCCTCTGGCACTTGGAGCGCCTTTGAGGCCCAGCTGCGCACCGCCTCCAATTCACGCCCCATGCAGACATTCCTAGTTGCCACAGGCAGTGGTGGCCACTAGAAACTGGAATCGCAAACCGAAAAACGGAATGACCACTGAAGGTGCGGCCCTGCCTGCACCGCAGGATTTCCAAACATGCTGGGGGAGCTGAGGATCGCCTTTGTCGAACAGAGGGCATTTAGCCTCTGCTCCAGCTTGGCGCAGGAGAAACACCCTCAAAGGCCAGGCCAAGCTGCCGAAGAGGAAGTCCGGAGAGCATCCTGGGTCCGATCGGGCTGTGCAAGCTAATGCCTGCGGCCTAAGGATTCACCCCAGTCGCAGCTGCGCCGGTCCTCCCCCTGAGCATCTCGAGCAGCACGACGACTCGACTGGGACCAAAGCTGCGCATCATCGGCAATGCGAATCAATTCCTGGCGACGCTTGATGAGCCCTGGAGATTTTGAATCCCTTCTAAAAGAAAGCTTATATGCCATTATATGCTTCTACGAAACAGATTCAAGACGTGACCGATGCTGCCTGTCCCTGCTCGTCGACCAGCACATCTGGCACCAGACGGATGGGCACCTAAGCAAGACACATTCCCTTCCACTTGTAACATAGTTGCAGCATCGTTGCACTGTCAGACTGTCCATGAGGGCCCTCCCTATGTGCCATGGCACTGGGTCGGCAAGCAACACCTGTCCAGGCAGGGCTTGAATCGCCTCCAAGAAAAGCAGAGAGAGTGAAAAGCAGCTGCTGCAAAGATATCGCCATGCCTCTATCATCTTTGCGGACGCTTCCCTGAAGTAGCAGAGGGGTTGAACAACCTTTGGTGACGATGGATGAAGCAGACAAGGCTCGGAGCTGCGAACTCGCTGACATCTCCGAATAGGTCTCGCCTGACAGAAACATTTGCTGACACGGCCCGAGACGAAAGCGACCAGAAACAGAATCGCACTTGCAGAAGCATGTGAAACATTATGAAACTAAAATGGCGACATCTTGAACCAGGAATTTTGGTCTACGCGAAGAAGGGCGCTTAATGTTCTGATGGTGAGCTTCGGTAGTTATTTGCCTCAGCTCGAGTACCATTTCGTGATGCGCATCACTCTCCCTCCGGAAAATGTTGTGAGCATGATCAAACACTGCACTAGAGCCCGGGCTCGTGAAGAAGACCGAACATTCCCTGCAGCTGGGGTGCGCGTGCTGGTTCACTTCTGCACATGACCTCGATCGTGTGGCCACAAGATCTCCTTCTTACCTATGTGTTTTACCAACGACTGATTCCACGACCTCGGCTGAGCTTATCATATCAGGAGGAAGCTGTCTCCGTTTTGGCAGGCATTGGCTCAGGCTACAGTGTTGCATGGCAGCCAAATAATCCAGAGCACCAAGCGAATGTCACTCGCTCATCTGCGGAAAGTTGTCCGAGTTTACCTGAGTTTCCGAACGAGCAGGCAAGAGTGCACTTGGCATCGAGACTGCACACGACAGCCTGCCATCGCTGCCTTCAAGGAATCCCACAAATCCTGCCTGCAGAGTGCAACCGTGTGCCCTGTACCAGATGCAGCTCTCCAGGCCTGGGCTCTCGTGCTGTCGCGAAGGCCCAGGCAAAAGCCGTCAGCTGCCTCGCTGAAGCACCACGGCACTCCTCGCCAGAGATCCCGCGTGGGCTTGCTATGGCTTGCTGCCTTACACCTGCATGGCAGCCGCTAGTGAAATTATGAGTACAAGCCTGTGCCACCGCATCTGCCATCAGTTGCCAAGCTGGATCATGAGGCAGCCTGCCACTGCTGCAAGGCTGGACCACCTTGCAATGCAATCCCTGCCTTGCTGTGGCCATGGCTCCAACCAAAGCCACCAAGGCCTCAGCCATTCTTTGACCACGAGCGAGCGATGCCATACCCCCAGCCAGCAAGTGAATCGAGGGCCTCGACATCACTGCCAATGTCCTGAAATGCATTGTGCATCCTCATGCTGTGTCCACATCAGTAGGCAGTGCAACATAGCCAGAATGCACAAAGCTGATGTCAGTATAAGTCTGCACATTAACTTGACATCAAGGATCGGGAATGATTCCTGCCAGTGCCTTGTCCAGTATCGGTTCCCGCATGGCTGCGGCGCTCTGTCCAGCAGGAGCAAAAATGAAGACGTTCGTGTATAAGTCAATTTGGGGAAAGTAGTGCAGATTCAGGCAGCGCACGGCAGCACAGAAGCACAGGCAAGCCAATGAACGGCAAACTGAGGCTGTTTCTGTGCAACGAGCCTTGGGGACGAAGGAAAGAAAGATCTCTGTAAGCAGTGGTTGGTTGATCTCCGGCGAGAGAAAATTTCGCCCACAAAGCTCTGTCCTCAAGACTGCAGACTTATGCGAAGTCAACAAGCTGTGCAGATCGACTTCTGTCCTGAAAAGGCTCACTGCCTCTTTGGCTTGCGCCACCCGCTCCTGTAGATAGCTCGGCCAGTTCGCTCAGAAGAACACTGTTTTCGGTGGAGGGCACCTTTGCGGCCTCCAGCTTTGCCGCTAAGTCGGAATCGACAGTCCCGGTGGCAGACTGACACCTTGTTTCAGACATGGCCAAGCAAGGCTTCTGGAAGGACAGCTCATAGCATGTCCATGGCGGCAGCCGGCCTAGTTAAAACTCCTCGAGATGGCGGTTGCCTTCGGCAGCAGTGACGGAAAGACACGCATGCACCCTCTCGCACAGTAGCCTAGCTTCATCTCAACGTGACTAGAAAAGAACTCACAGAACTGCTCAGCACACGGCAAGAACGGAGGCTGCGCGAAGTCAGCCTCTGGATGCCTGCTTTTGTCTGCAGTGGCGGCGCATCGGTGTCCGTCATATCATTGATCTCCATTGCAACTACTGACTACCGACTTGCGCTTTCTCCGAACGCAGCTTAACATTATCAACATGTTATGGACCTGGACAACTCTGGTCCGCAAATATCTGCAAATCTTCACCGGAGTCACAGACACTCTCCTGCCTGGACCGCCTGTTCAAGACCAGTGCAGAAACAGCAGCAAGAGCACATGCCCAGCATCTCCACCTCTGCACACTACAATTTAAAGGAGAAATCTGTATGACCTCGAGACAAACGAGACCAAGGGTCCAATACTGAGATCCCTACCTCCGACCCTGACCACAGCTCTGCCGCGTCATGCCGAATCCATGCGGAATAAATGCAAATACTGCTAATGAGCGCCTTCATTGGAATGCTGACAGCTGATCCTTCAAGATGAGCTCCGGCATCTTCAGTTCTTCCACAGGACTCCAATTCTAAAGTGTGCAGAACTTCGGGATGTTAAGGACTGATGGCTCCGCTTTCACCGACTTGTGCCAAGAGCTGAGATCCAACTGGGTCAAGCAAATGAGTTTCACAATGCTGAATGGTGCAGCATGACGAAGGCCATGACGCCACAGCGTCCGGAGAGCCTGAGGATGCCTCAAGAACACTGCGATTTTCTGAGGTCGAGCAAAGAACCAGATTGGCTAGAGTTTGACACTGATTCCGAGACAAGCGACCAGGACTGCCAACGCTCGCTGCCACTCAAAACTACGTTCGCCTCAGCATTCAGGGCAAGGCCAGGACGGACATCCGGACATCCCAGGCTCCGCACAAGCGCTGATCACAGCACTGAGAAGCACAATGTCCGGACTGGTGCCGGCCTGAGCGAACTCGACTTGACTGCAACGCAACGCCGCCTGCAAGCTCGATTGTTGCAGGCAGAAATTCCGAGTTTGAGCCTGCCTCTTCAAGCTCCCGCAGCAAATCCAAGCAGCACTCCCACTTCTGGCCCTGTGCTCACTTGGCGGACCCGAATCCACTTACACGCTCTTAATTACTGGCTCTCAATCTTGCTTTGAGATGCTTTGAGCAACCACGTGCCGTCCAATCGAGCCCAACATGATCTTCGAGGCTTCTCACACCCCAAGCAAAGCTTCGGCTTTAGTCCTTCGCACACGCGCTTGCGGCGGATGCGTAGTTGATGAGATTTGGCCTCGACTGGGCATGCCATCCTCACCGAATGTGAAGTCGAGCCGAGTCAAAGGCTCCAGCTCACGTCCTGCAGCCCGCCTCGACGGTGCCTCTGAAATTTTCAAGCTGGAAGTCTCTCGGAAACCTACCTTTTTCTGACAACAGCACATCTCTCGAAGTGACGACCTTTCGAAGCAGATCCAGTGCTTCAGCCCACAGCCCTGCAAACCTGAAACTTCACGTGTGACTGTCACACAAATGCTGCTCTCTTGTGTCTCAATGCTTTGGTTGGGCAGGCGGCTCAAGTATTCGCAGCATCGCGCCAATCACAACCTCGTTTGCCTGAGGTCACGCCCAAGGCTTTGGGATTCAACATGATGCAAGAGACTGACCCGCCTCGCGGCTGTCCCGCGCATCTGCTAGCAAAGCCCGTGCTGTATTGAGTGCCGCAGCCTTTCCACCAGAGGCCACAGGCCCTTTGAGGCTCTTCCGAAGCGACTGGAAGATAAGGCCAAGTCCTCGCTCTCGCTTGCCCAAGCTCTGCAGCTGCCAAGCAATGCCGAGTACGTATACCTGACGAGGCACTAAGAACGTCGAGAGCAGAACTGGAAACCTGGAAGGAAGTCCAGAGATTGCGGCGAGTCGGGTGCCACGGCCCGGCTACGCATTTTGGCCAGCAGGCTAAATGCTTGCTGCCAACCTCGGCCGACAAGATTGAGAAAGCTTACCAAGCCGTCTCAGAGAAAATCTCAGAACCTCTCTGCCTGCCATCTCCAACACAGCCATGGCCTTGGTGATTTTGCCGACTCTCAATATGGCACAACATGAGGCAGGATCAGACCCTCAGAGCGTGCGGCCGCACTAAAGGCGACAACGTCCGCAGAAGATGAGTCTTCAAGCTCGCCGAGGAGCCTCAGTTCACTGAAATCACGAGAGCCTGCCTTGCCTCACTAGCCCTCGTTTTTGCAGCTCGGACGAAATGTTGGAAGGTCACCAGGGGGGTCCCGAACTCCAGAGTCTTCCATGCCCCTGAACTTGCCCAGACTTGCTGTCCGAAGTTTGACAGGGTATGGGATTCAAAGCCTAAGGCTCAGAGTGCAGTGAAAATGTGTAGTCGTGTGAGCTTGATGACGCGCAGCTTGATCCACGGAGTGTGTCGGAATTGCTAGGATAAACTGCCGTCATGAGCACTGATACGCAACTCGGTGGAACGCTGCGAGTTCTAAACAAGCCCTATCGTTGCTTCCCATCCTGTGCAGGCCTGAGCTGATGGCAGTAGCGCTTCTTGCCAACGTCCACCGGACTGGCATGGAGTCGGACAGAGCCATGAAACGTGGAGCGTGGTAAAAAAACAAAAAACAAAAACATGCAGTCAATGCAGCCTGTGCAGGTGCGAAAGAAGCCACCACTGGCATGGGTCTGCGGTTAACCCAACACGTCACATGGGCCCCGCCCACCCGCAGCGCAGACAGCGCAGCCCGCAGGGCTCCGCTTTGTGGCTCCAGGCCCTGGCCGCGGAAGCGGCCGAGGAGCGACCAAGCCGCCTGTGAGCGGTACGTCTCTAGCGCGGCTACGCAATGCATAGCTGGGTTGCAGTGACTTCCTCCCGGCCTGCCAAAGCCTGAGCGATGCAAGGCTATCAGCTATCTATCCTCGGTCACCTTCTCAGCTGTCTCTTGAAGTCTTGGCTGTTTCATGCTGTTTCAAGGCTGCGGCCCCACTCGCTCACAAGCGGAAAGAACGGATCCCAAGGAGGTGGAGTCGGCGACCGGGCCTTCCCGCAAAATGTCAACGCTCGTCCAGTCAGGGCCAGCAAACTCGGCGATTTACTTGCCTGATCCAGCCAAAAGCTCCTCGAAAAGCAGCATTGCCTCGACGATTCCGAAACGGTGGCCCTTGAACTTAGGGTGGATCTGCACAATAAACTTCATGGGATTTCGTTGCAACTCGTCGTGGCGTTACAGCAAGCTTGCCGTGTAGGCAGGGCTGAAACCTGTATGCGTGATGGATAAAGCTTGCATCTCCATCCATCTGCTCCATCTGAATCTGCAGATTTACACGTCCGTGAAGTCAAGGCCGTCGACCTTCCTGTGCTTCAACATACTATTTCCCACTGCCTCGTCATCTCAGCTCCATCTCAGCCATTCATCGAGACAGTATTTTGCCGCACGAAGCAACCGAATTCAGCCGAGACGGCCAACTATGGCTGGGTTTCAGCCGCATCGACAACGGAGAGAAGACCATGGGCGACATTCAGAGCGAACCACCGAGAACACTCGTGCTTAGTCAAGCCCTTTGCCGGCACACTGAACATGGCCACAGGTCTCTCAATCTGCAGTTGGCTTCGCACTACAGCGAATGAATTGGGTGCATTTTCGTACGACGCTATGCTGTTTCTGATGTCTGCAAACGGATGCACTAATCACACTCAACGGTAAATTCCCACGCAAAACAGAACTCGATCGTGCATACCTCCGGATTAGAGGTTGCTTCACACAAATGGCCTTTTGACGGAAGCTTGTGTTACCTGCGCTCAAGAAGCAGTCTGTCGTGTTTCCAACAAAGCACCCCGGAAAGACAGAAGCAGTCCTGTTCCGTGCAGCTTCGCTTCTACTCTCGCGCCCGATGCCTCGAGGCTTTGTCATCAGGTGCTTGGATGCCTCGACATGGTTCTCGCTTCAGAGGCAGATGCCCAGACTGCTGGAAATGAGCACCAACATGCAAACGATGACTTGATAGTGACCCCGCGACAAACAGGCAGCGGGCACCCTCCAAGTCCACCTGCACACATGCTACACGCAGAATGTTCCAATGTCAATCAAGTCAGCTTCATTCGCTGGTGACGAAAGCACAGCTACTGCAGCCAGCCTCTAGATAGCCAGGCGATTGCTCCGCCTTAAGGTTCTGCATTTCTTCATCATCCTGTGCAAATAGTCTCAGACACTCTGGTTCTCGTGCCGCCTTAAGGCCTTAAGGTGTATTGTCGCCTTGCAAGCACACAGCCCAGCCAACCACTTTTCCTCACCGACTCCCACCCTAGCCCTGCCGGCCCTGCAGCGTTCGCAAGCTAGCGACACAATTGAATTTTCCGGCCTCGTTCGTCGCCCCTATTCTTTGGCCATCGAGATCTTTCGCTGGCAAGGACGGCGCTAGGTTGTCCTGCCACAAGGCTCCACCCCGAACTGCTAAGGCATCTGAGTCTCATCTGAGGTGCGCTTCTTGCGACATGCAAGAGTTTGAGGAAACCCAGAAGTCTGTCTGACCCGGATCGCCCAATTGTCCAGCACCAAACATGATTTTGCATTACAGGGGGTCACATGCTCCAGGCAGCGACAAGAGTGCTCAACATTGCCTTCAAGCATCGGCATGGCAGTGAACTCAACCGGCAATCAAAAGTCTCTGAAGGACAGGCGTTGCCCTGCACAGGAAAGGTTCCTGTGCCCTATAGAAGATGTATAGAACTTGATGCACACGATGGATTTTGCCTTACAGCCTCAAAGACGTTTCAGGCATGCCTGGAAGTGCCGGAAGACACCGTACACGATTCCAGGCGCTTCGAAATTGGCCTGGCTTGTGCCCAGGCCAAACCCTTCAAGAGTGTATGGTACTACCCCAGAAAGCGAATTAACTAAATTCCTGAGCACCCACAGTCCACGGCTCCCTCTCGTCAACCTGTGGCCGCTTTCAGCCAAGGAGCCGGTGCTTTGCTAACAACGCCTCGGCTTGAAGAAGGGCTCGGCTGCAAATCTGCTCCGACATGCTAGGGAGTAGTTGTACTGTTCTGCAGGTGAGCATCCGTAGCACTGGATGCCCGTGATCGCAATTGAATAGCCGACCCTGGGCATAAACACAATTGTCGCAAAGACGCAACCATCGTGGTTGTGCGGCCGAAGTCACACTTGCAGAACATTTACGGTGCTTCCCATAACGACCACCTTGGCTGTGTCTCTGCTACCTTGCATATGAGACTCACGCTTGGCAGCAACCCCAGCCCGAGCAGCCGGAAAAAGCTGAGCAAAAGACAGAGCCCATGATGATGGAGATGTCCTGAAGTCTTCTGGTGCCCAAGCGAGAGAACGCGAAACACACTCTTCGTTCGACACATGTCTCAAAACACGCTTCGTCCTTCACGACCCCAGCAAGCGCATAGATCAAACCGGACGCCAGCTGAATGGCGATGTAGATCGCGATGTTGAGGAAAAACGCCTGAATTCCAAAGCACGCCATCATGGGAAGAGTCTGTTGGTGTCCAGGTCGCACCAGCTGTTCACTGCAACCACTCGATGTCTAGTCATGTAAGGCTCTCCAAAACTGAGCATGAGACGACGAGAGCGTTTGCCACCATGACTAGCTCTCCCAGCTGGTGCATCACCTCGCAAACAGACTGTCTTTGCAGAATCAAACGACCTTGAGACCCTGGATTTCACGGAAAGGCAGCCGAGGCTCCTCAAAGGAGATTCCGTCTAAGTCCTTGGGCAACTGCCCCCTCCCTCGAAGCAAGCAGAGACATGCAGGGACTCCAGCGATGGTCAAAGGCAATCTCTGGCGGATAGACCATGTCTCCTTGCCTGATTTTGACCCACGTAGCACAGATGCTGCCAAGGATCCGTCACAACGCCGATAACCCTAGGCGGTAACACCGACTTGGATTGAGAGTATCCGGCAAGGCAACTTTACACGGAGTTGCGGCAAATCGCTGTGTCGACTCAGGGCTTCAGACGACCAGCACGCCATCATGCCGAGATTCCCTTCCTAGCGCCCAGCTGCTACACCAACCTTTCAGAAACAGCAGATTAGCAGAGCGGCAACAGAATCGCCGAGGCGATCGGTGCGAAGATCAAGATGGAGCTCAGCGGGTTCAGCTTGTAGCCGGCCCTGAATTTCACAAGCGTGGCACAGGGCTCGACCGTGGCTTTCAACAGTATGAGAAACGAGGCAAATCGAAAACTGCAACTTGCCAATTTCTCTCTAGCTCTAGTTCCTCTCTTCACTCGCAATCTTGCAGTTCTTTTCTGCCACACGACAATGCCTGCATTGCTTCAAGGCATACGCATGACCTGCACTGCCGAGATGTGTGTCCAGTGTGCTTGGAGCACATGCAAGACGAGCACGGGCCAGGACACCTTCGTGCCAGCGGAGCCCTCACTCCCGTCAAGAGTCGGCGCGTCAAGCAGATCAACGGGAGCAAGAACCCCAGCATGTGCAAAGCACTAGCTTCAAGAGGGGACAAGACCTGGGGTCTGAATCTTCACGGACCCGAATTCAATGCAGTGCAGCAGTGCAGCGCTTGCTTTGCCTGCAAAGACGAAGTGGAAACAGTTTATATCCGAAAGTTGTTGGCTCACGATCTGAACCTGGCATGCTACAATTTTGACACGAACACAGCAAGCTCGCTGCGCTTGCACCTTTTCTTCTGTTGATATGGAGTGGAAGCCTGCCAGCTTGGTTGTAACATAAGACTACTAGAGAAGGGCTTTAGCGTTGCTCTGGCAGTATAAGCCACTCTCAGTGAACAGAACAGCACGACAGATCGTGCGCCCGGTGTGAAAGGCCAGCAGCCACTTCACAAGTGAGAAATGCCGAAGAAGAATTGATAGTCAGATCGATGGGTTAGTGGGAACCGTCGCAGTGTCAGTGCTGTACTCGTGTCCTCTGCAACTGTCCCAGAGTGAGAATAATTGTCACATGTTGCAGGCTCTTTTGTCCTGGTCCTTCCCAAAGCACATGTAAGTGTGCTTGTCCTACTCGTGGTGTGTAGAGATGTGCCACACCCGATCCCAGCCTTATAGTCGAAGTACAGATGGAGCCGCAGGTTCAGGCAAATCCGCCCTAGGTGCGGAGTACTGCACCGTCCTTTCAGTCCTTTCCACCCCCTGCTTCTTGTGAAACACTGTGTGGAAGATCACAAAATCCTCTGATGGACACGGACTCGGAGTATGTCCTCGATTGCGAGCACCTTCCATCTCCAAATCACCGAACTTCAGCGAGCAAACGGGGGAGCACAACGGGCTCAGAACAGATCTCGAGGAGCTTCCAGCTCTATTTGTCAGCATGCGCCCTCTCTTTTCGATTGCCGAGACATCGACCAGCTCGTCGTCGTCTACGGGGAACTGAGACTCTGGGACACCAGGATCTGTAGGCACATCCTCCGATCGCTTCTTAGTCACAGTAGCTCTTCCACACAGAATTGTCGCTAACAGCTGGGCCATTCTGCTCCGTGGCAGCAGAGCTTCGAGGATTTTGAACGGGCTGCTTCTGAACCCGAGTGTATTGCGGCGGATATGAGGTCTCACGCAAAAAGCGGCGGGGCTGCACCCTGGCAAAGCGACTTCATCACCTGAAGCCCTTCCTGATGATATCAGTTGACACTGGGCAGCCGAGTGACGATTTCAGGAGAATCTCAAGCCTCGGACGGCATTAATCGAGCGGCTGGCTGCTACGACAGGCACACGGTTGTCGACTTTCCCCCCGACAGCACCGTAGGGCTCGAGCAGATTTATTCGAAGGCCCTCCGAGAAAAGTGCGGTGACTTGCATCAGAAAGCCGTACCTCCGTGTCACAAACGCAGAAGGCACATGATGTTATGCTGCTTAGGCATTCCTCCGGGAGAAAGCAATGCTGCCCCGTGAGGCGGGCCATGACCGGGTACGAACTGAGCTGGGGACTTTCTCCAGTTGACTTCTGAACACCGTCCAGTTCCTTTTAAGGTAACCCAGGGTGCCAATCGAACTTGATCTCGCCAACACTTGTGATCATCAGTCCTGATCCCATTCCAAGAGCATGTTCGACTCGATTACCATGTCTGTCTGTCACTCTGCGTGCAAAGAAGGCCAGACGGCCGAACAAACTCAGCTTACTACCTACAGTGATGGTCAGAATGGTCTTGGCCACCGGAATAGACCACTTCTGGGTACCGACCTGTGCCCCAGGGTATCAGGGTTTCAAGGCCATGGCCCAAGCTACCAGAAGTCTGAGGAACAGGCCAAACATCCGACTGCATACACCATCCTGACATCTGCTTTGCGGCTGAGCGATTCAACTATGCTGCAGTTGCCATCACTGGGCTGATTAGGCCAAGAGACGCTGGAGTCCAGGCTTTGATCATCTGGCAAAAAGAAACAGAAAGATACATTACTGCCTCAGGTTCGGCTGACGGCCGGAAGGCCACGATTCCAGGGCCACAAGACCATGGTGCGTCTCTTTCTGGCAAGCGGCCGTGTTTCCGGCAATTAAGCCCACACACCTCGGGCAGAGAGCAGAAGAGCAAGGGGGCACTTACAGGTGCCTGTCTGTGCATGTCTGTGCCAAGGAGGCGCTGCGCGGCGGCCACCGGGAAGCCAAGCTTCAGGGCCTCGATCATCGCCAAGGGCGGCCGGCCCTCCTTCCGCTTTTACGAATAGCCAACACTGCTGTCTCACTCAATGCGAGTATCTAGATACGGTGTGGATTATGCTGGATTTCGAAGATGGCTTTCACAGGGTGCTAGTAAATCAACGAAAAACGGCTTCAATACGATGGAAAAACAAAGAAGTTGCATGCTGCTCGCGTTTGTGAACAGGAGGGTCACCCGCGCACAGTTCCTCTGCTTCAGTGTCAGTTCAAAGTTCGATGGCTGCTGCAGGCTGCGGGCCAAGAAATCAAGCCTGCAGCTGCACTGAAAGCGTGGGCATGATTTGAGTTATAATATAGCGGGAATGCTTGATCCCGGTTTCCACGCATGACAACTGGTGAGTCGTCCCGAACAAGCAGGCCTGTCCACTGCCCTAGCAACGACCCTGATGTCCGCCGGACAACAAACGTGCCGACATCCAGGGCTCTAGGTATGGAGAGGCCGCCTCCAACAAGATTTTCAATGCATCACATCATGTGCACACGAGCAGCCTGCGGACGGTATGATCGAATTGCATGTGTCAAGCTGACACTTCTGTCCTGATGAGAACTCCACTCCACACGACCACATACTACTAGGGTTGAGCCTAAACCCTTGTCAAGCTTGTCATTGTGGTTGGTGGTAAGGACCTACTCTGGTCACCTGCCCGGTGCGTTTCCATCTCGCAACAACATCGCTGAGGCAGTTGAAATTGCGTTTGTTCTTGCTGCGAGTCAGACCTTTACCGGCAACACTACTGAGTTTTTAGAGGATTTCAGCAGTCAAAACTTGCAAACTCTGCGGGGCTCTACTGCTTGGAATGGCAAAGAACTCGAAATGCTGCAGCCCCGAACAACAATCGCCGCACTCTACAGCTAGACGCCAAAATGCACGACGGTCTTTTTTCGTCGTGTGGTT